TGTTTTATACATTAGTTTAAATTAAGAATATTTTTTTCCTAATAATATTATTTTATTACTCATAAATAATTATATGCTAATTTATTTTAGACACATGTATGCTTCATATGGTGTAATTTTGACGGTAACTTCATCTATGTTTTTTTTTTTTTTTTTAGCGTTAACAGCTAACAGTCATTGTTAATAAAGATTCTTGTGATTTCAGAGCCCGATCGAGTTTCTTCCTTTTTGATTCGTTTCAGAGATTTAGAAGGTGAAGCAAATTTCAAGAAAAAATTTGCTCAAGCCATGTATGAAACTTTAAATGAATCTAGGGCAAAGGTTCGGCTTAATTATAATAACTGATATTATTATTTTTTTTGTCTTCTAAACCTACCTAACATGATATAATGATTTTTTTTCTTAACATAGGAAGAAGAACAAGAATATTTTATGAATGCTTATCAAGAAGATGTCGAAATGACTGATGCTGAATCGACCGATAAAGAAGATACTGAAGAAGGTACGATCATAAGAATCTGAACTCTTTATCGGGTAATTCTTATTGTCAATATAATTAATTAATTAATCCCTATAGAAAATGAAATGTCAGAAGATGACGATGATGCATCAGATGACAATATCGATACGAAAGGTGTAGAAGGAGAAAGTGCCAATTCACAACTTATTGTTGGCTATAAACATGATAGGTCTTTTGTCTTAAAGGGAAATAAGATTGGTGTGTTTAAACACACAGATGATGACCGCATTGAATTAACGACAAACATTAGTGAAATCAAAGGACTTGGAGGGAGTAGGCTTATTAATCCTTCAAAGGTATGTTTTATTTACTTATTTATTTATTATTTTTAAAAAATAATCATAATACTTGATTCTACGAATTTGTTTTTATTAGGGAATGCTACATGAAGAAGACTCTACAATGGTTTTAATGGATCCCCAAGACGAACATAATCTTTTCAAGATGGATTTAGAATATGGAAAAATTGTTGAAGAATGGAACGTTCATGACGTCGTTCCTGTTACAAGTATATTTCCAAGTAATAAATTTGCTCAAACGACAGCTGAGAAGACCTTAGTTGGAATGTCGCACAATTCGCTTTATCGAATTGACCCACGACTACCTGGTCAAAAATTAGTAGATACCCAACGCAAACAATATATGACTAAGAGTGATTTTAGTTGTGGAGCGACAGACGCCAAAGGTCATATCGTAGTGGGGAGCGAAAAAGGCGATGTCAAATTATTTGATTCTTTAGGCAAGATTGCAAAGACAAATCTTCCTGCTTTAGGAAGTGCAATTAAGGGAATTGATGTGACATCGGACGGTAGATGGATTATTGCTACTACCGCTCGATACTTGTTGCTCTTAGATACATTAATTAAGTCCGATCCAAATAAAAAACTTGGATTCGAAAAAAGTTTCCCAAAAGATAAAAAGGTTTGTTTGTAATTATACTGATAGATATTTGATATTGGTACAAATTTTAATATTTATAGTTGTTTAATAACTCGTTTCTTCTCTCTCAGCCAATTCCAAGGAGGTTACAACTGAAACCAGAACATTTGGCTTTAATGAAGGAGCCTGTATGTATTCATAAAATGCTTCACCAATTATGCATAGTAAATCATGCCCATTTTTAATTTTCAAGGTAAACTTCACACCCGCGAGATTTAATACTGGTTTGGATGAAATGGAAAAAACCATAGTAACAAGGTAATTATTTCAGCAATTTTGCGTAGTTTTTTTCTTCCAATATTTATTATCATTTGTCTTATTCATTACTTTCCTTTAATCAGCACTGGTCCGTTCGTCATTACCTGGAATTTCCGTCAAGTAAAACAAGGAAAACTTGATGGGTATCAAATTAAGCGCTACACAGATGACATTGTAGCTGACAACTTTAAATTTGGGCAAGATCGGTCGATTGTTGTTACTTTTCCACACGATGGTACATTATTATTTATTAATATTTATGTCAATTTTGCGATTACGCCTAATTCCATCTTTTTATTGACATAAATAGTCACAATGACGAAAAAGACACATTTGTCGACTCCAACAAAAGCAGTGCTTTCACCTTCAAAGGTAATCTCATTCGATTCGGCTATATCACTATTTTCCCACTATTTTTATATCAAAGCTAATCTTTAATATTTTTGCTTTTTAATTCAGTATGTAAAAAAGCAAAAGTCTATTAGATAATAGCAACCACTTTGAAACATATATTAAACCTATACGATCATTACATTATTTCTTAATATTAAAGTTGTGATTTACAAAATTTTGTATTTATAATATCTTTCTATATTCGCTCGTAATTTATTATTTTTTTTTCTCTATTTGTGTTCCTATTTATTGCGACTGCGTTAATTTCAAAGTGTAGATTTAAAATTGAGTTGCATCGGACTGAAATTCATTTACGCGTCAGAGCGAAGTGTGCATAATGAGCAATAATCAAAATAACAAACTGATTTTTTTTTTTTAAGGGTAGACACATTGTTTCTATAAGATCTTTAGATATACACGGTTTTTATGTACTGTCGGCCTTCTCAAAACCGGTATGCATGGTGGACGGTTCTGTATCGGTTTTGGGAGGTTATCGGATTCGTCTTCCCAATGTCTAAAAATTCTGCGCACCAATCAGCTTTCAAAACCAGGTGTAACGTGAAATTATGCACTTTTTGAAAAATCGGTTGTAGCTCAAAAATTCCTCGCCAAATTTTGGTATATACTATGCCTAGGGTGTCCAGGATTTAGGGTTGTAAAATTACCGTAATTTTGCGTAATTTTGTGTAGGTTTTTGTAAAACGGTTTTCATTTAATTAGTAAAAAGGTTCGAAACCCGCAAAATTACACAAAATTACATGAAAATGTAAGACTGTAAAATGTAATTTTCAACCCTACCAGGATTAAGCTACTATATAGTATAATTTAGCATAATTCAAGTTTGCTAGCATAATTACGCTAGCATCAGAATTTAGCATAATTTATATTTGCTAGCATAAAATCTAGCATAATTTGGTTTTTTTTTTTTTTTTTTATACCGATGATGTGACCATCTTCGGACGCGTGTGGCATTCTTTTATTTATAAATTTAGATACATTGTAGATATTTACAAATAGAGTTTATCTGTGAATTGTTATTCAAATTGGAAGCTATTACTTTTATCTCCTTGGAGATGCGATTTCTAATATATATCGGTATTATTGTTTCTGGTGTTGATGAGTTTTTTTTACTTATATGATATAAACCAGCATCAGAATTCATAAATTGTGTTTGTATAAAGTCAAAGAGCTGCTTTATGATGCTTGTATCTTTGAAGTTTTTTGCTGTGAAGATTTTTTTGATTGAAGATAGGATTGATATTTCTTTAATATTTAGAAGTTTATAAGTTTTATTTTATATTTTTTTACTTATATTATATTTAAGCACAAAATATTCTATTGTTTGAAGTTTGTTTGAGCATCAAAGGTAGTTTTCTGACTCTGTTGCAGATATGTGTTGTAACCGGTATCCTAATAGAAGAGTTTTATAATATATTTGTCATAGTATATTTTTTTTCTTATTGTTGTTTACTTTTGTAAATAACTAGTTTATCTTGATTTTTGTTGAAAGTATAGTATTTGTTGGAACAATTGTTTGTTTTTTTAGAATTTTTATTAGGTTCTTTACTAAGAGATTTATATTTTGTTTTTCATCAATCATTAGGTATTCTATTTCCTAAAGCTATCTATGATCTTCTCTAAATTTTTTTTTATATTATCAAATATAGTTTTTATTCTGTTAGTCAGACTTTAGATCTGATTGGGGTTGATATTAAAGCTTGTAATGCTATAATGTTCTTTTTTGTATCTTAAAGATAAAGAAATTTTGTTTTGTTTGATTTTTGCCTATAGATAATTACTGATTATTAGTATAGTTAGTATTCTTGTATCAAGTATATTAATTATTGAGATTTGAAGATCTCTATATTCATAAGATAGTTAAAAGATTAAGTATCTAAGAAGCATTTTGGAGTTGTTTTTAATTTATATAATAATTAATCTATTAATTTTTGTTATTTGCTTTCTGTTTGAAGGTAGTAGATATGTTGTATATTATATTAATATAAGTATAAGCAAGTTTGCTATTAAAATTTTCTCTAAAGAAGAGGTTTTTTTAAAAAAACTT